CCGACACCTCCCTGCGCCCTGCACCGACAGCACCGGGATCCCAGCACCGACACGTTCCTATGCCCCGTCTTGGCAGCGCCGCGACCCCAGCCCCGACAGCGTCTCCAGCAGCAGCCAAGGCTCAAGCCCCTGCACGACCCCCAGCCCCGGGACAGCAGGGCAGGGCACCCTGCAGGCTGCACGGGACCCGGCCCCGGCCAAGCGCGGTGCCCCGAGCCCTGCAGCTGCGAGCAGCAGCCCCGGGATGCTCCCCGAGCTGGGGTTGGAGCTTTGGAGAGGAGGGGAACACGGTGGCTCTGGTGTCCCCAGGCACTGTGCACTCCCCAGGGCCAGCCCCCTGCAGACCCCTCTCTTTCTGGTTGCAGGTGCCTTCTGCATTCCCTTGTACGTGCCCTATGTGCTGACAGGGAGATGGATCTTCAGCAGAAGCCTCTGCAAACTGTGGCTCGTAGTTGATTACCTGCTCTGCACCTCCTCGGTCTTCAACATCGTCCTGATTAGCTATGACAGATTTCTCTCTGTGACAAGAGCGGTGAGTCCTGCCGTGGCTGCTGAGAAGGGAATATTCTCCCCTTGCATTATTCTCCAGATTTGTTGCAATAATTAAAAGCCTTTTGAATCCTCCAAAAATTAGGAATTTCAGCCCGCTGATGGAAAGCAATAATTATCCACAAATACATAATTCAGCTTTGGTTTCAGACTAGTATTTCTGGCACAATTAAATCATTTAAGGTTCAAACCCCATTGTGCAGGTGTTCCCTTCTCAGACGCCAGGAAGATAATATCCAAGTGAGTCAGCGAGTTAAGCAGATCTATTACCGACTTCCAGGGGCTTGTTATCTCCAGGAACAAACAAGGGGGTTGCAAGAGGAGCCCCGGCTTCTCCTTGGCTACCAGGGCAGTCTGTCTCAGCTCCACTTCTTCAGGGTGCTGCCTGAGGTGTTTAGGTACTATGGTAGAAGATCAAAATACTCAGCATTTTGCAGGAGGCAGCTCAGATCCGTTGTGTGCTGTTTCCCCTCTGGTTCCAGGTATGATACAGTCCAGCTACAATAAGCCCAGGTTAGAGAACTAGAGCAAAATCTCTGCCTGAGGTTGATGCCCGGGAGGTGCAGAGAGCAGGCAGGGAGCAAGGGGCTGCCAAGCTCCATCCGAGTCAGTACATTTCCACTGAGAAAAGCCAAGTTTGTTTTTGGAGCTGCAAGACGGGGGTTCTAAGTCTTCCCTGCAGGAGTGTGATTTACCCAGCAATTGCTCTTGTTGCCTATGGCACATGAATTTGTCGCACTGCTGGGATATTGCCTAGCAACTTTACCAGAAACGCTAGTGGTTCCTTTGCGAGGAGCCTCGTCCAGTTGGCCTGTGTGGTCACCCCTAAGCAAGGATGTCCCCCTTGCAGGTCGCCTACAGAGCCCAGCAAGGCAATACCAAGCAAGCAGTGCTGAAGATGGTGATGGTTTGGGTGCTGGCCTTCCTGCTCTACGGACCTGCCATCATCAGCTGGGAATACATATCGGGCCGGAGCACCATTCCCACCGGCGAATGCTACGCCGAATTTTTCTACAACTGGTATTTTCTCATGACAGCCTCTACGCTGGAGTTTTTCACCCCTTTCATCAGTGTAATGTTTTTCAACTTGAGCATTTACCTGAACATACAGAAGCGCACCAAAATACGCCTGGATATTTTCCACAAAGTGCACCAGCAGTCCTTCGCTGAAGAGGTGGAAACGAGCCCAGAGGAGAAGCTTTCTTTGAAATGCTGCAAGTGGGAGCAGAAGGAGGCAGCTGAAACCCTCGACCTCTCCAAGAGCAAAGCACAACAAAGCACAACGAGCGCAAAGGATGCGCTGACAGCCGGCCCGGAGAGCTGTGGAAAACCAAAACATTACCACAAAAAATGCTGTAAAAACTCAGCATCCACGCTGTCCTTAGAAAAGCAAATGAAGATCGTCTCCCAGAGCATGACTCAACACTTCAGGCTCTCCAGAGACAAGAGAGTGGCCAAATCGCTGGCAATAATTGTAGGCATCTTTGGGATTTGCTGGGCACCGTACACGCTCCTCATGATCATCCGGGCGGGCTGCCACGGCCACTGCATCTCTGATTACTGGTACGAAACTTCCTTCTGGCTGCTGTGGATCAACTCTGCCGTCAACCCCATCCTGTACCCGCTCTGCCACTACAGCTTCAGAAGAGCTTTTATTAAGCTCCTCTGTCCAAAGAAGCTGAAGATTCAACCTCACAACCCGCTTCAGAACTGCTGGAAGTGAAGCCAGCCCAGCGTAGGGGTGAGAAGAGCCTCTTAACTCACCTGTGTTACAAGCAGTACTGTAGTTTGCTTCCCTGGAAGAGTCTAGGGGGATATGAAGGCAGCAATGAGATCAAGACTAATTTCTTCTTCCAGTCCATCATCAACAACAAAACATACAGAGTGGAGGGGTAAGTTTTGGGCATTGCCAGGGCTCCTCAAGTGTGCAACCCACACGTAAAGATGCCACAGAAGAGCTCTGCTGCCACCTAGGCAGCCAGAGAGGCACCAGCATTTTCTTAAAACCAACAAAAATAGAACCAAAAATAGAAATCGACAAGAACAAATTACAAATATCTAACTTAAAAAACACCAGACTGAGCTACAACTTGTCTGCATTCAAACCAGATGTTTTTGAGAGTTTTCTTACACTTATATTATGTACATGCAGTGATGCAAAGTTTCAAACTTTCTTTCAAGAGAAAAATCACCTAACCCGTCATTACTGCTGCTACAACTACAGCCATAATCCAGATCCCCATTGCAGATGGTGTAACGGGTATTTTCCCCMCAAAGGGTAAATCTTTGCCCTCAGGAGTTTAAGGCCAGGTTTAGGTGGCCCCAGCATCCTCAAGCACCCTGTTTCCTGATCCTTGCTTCTAAGGATCAGCATGGGTATTTCTTGATTCTTTTTTGATCTTCTTCTTGATTTATTGATCATCACCTTGATTTCTGTGTATTCTTCACACTCTTGCCTCCTTTGGGAAGCTTACCTCTCTTCCCTCAAGCATGGTGCCACGTCCTCCAGTGTCCTTGTCTGCTTTCCCCATTTAGGCTGTCACGTATAGACACAAGTATCAGGCACATTGAGGCTGTTTGCCTGGCTTTGCTATGGAGAGGATGGAGAAGAGGAACGCGATGGGAATGACTTCCAGGTGGGAGATGCCCAGCAAKAGCAAGTGCAGTCACTGGTCCTCACAGATGAGTCAGCAAGTCACCCAAGCATCAAATTCTTTTCAAGCCATCTACAAGTTTCACAGCTGCAGTGCTAGATTCAAGAGACCAGGGCTCTATCATCAGTCAGTCTTAATGTGAAATATTGGTCATTTTGTCTCTGTTTCCCATTTCATACTTCACAGTAACCTATTTAGCCTCTAATTTCTGTGGGAACAGAGGTAGTACGGTCATAAAGCAAAAGCAACTCCCATTGTTCAGTGCTGTCGTAATACTAATACATAATTAGTTGCCATGGCAAAAGCTCATATCCAACAGTATTGTACAGGGGAGCTCAAAATCATAAGTCTGAAAAATACCTTTCCAAATAGAACCCCAAATACTGTAAAGTAGTCCCCAAAAGCTTAGGATGTCGTGATTGCCTATTACACTTAGCTGCTGTGAGCAAACTGCTTCTTGGCTGTTGCTAGGAATAAAAGAAACAATATTTTTGGACTTTACTGTTGATAGATCAATATTGTCAGGTTTAAAATGATGTCTTGTTCAGTGAATATGATATTTCAGTCTTGTAACAATCTCCTTCAGACCATTATACGTGAGTTAAGACATATCCTGTGATGTAAGCGGACTAAGAACAGCTAGTGTGCACACTGTTGAGCCTGCTTGTACCCTTATGTCTACCAGCCTCTGAGAACCTCAATAAAATATTTTTATACGAAGCTTGCGAATCCTTTAAAGAGCACTTTGCAGGAAATCACAAATTCATTTGAAAAGTCAAACACCTCCAGATCTGTCTGAGSATACAGTTAAAGTCTAAGTGTTTGGAAAACAACCAGCCAGCCAACCTCCAAGCAAGCTCCTCAGACAGGTACATTTCTCTTACCACGGATTAGCCAGTGAACACCGATTAGCACATTAACTCCACGGTGAAAGCAAAGTGCTTAATTCTTTCCAAGACAAGTTCTGTCACAAAGCATGTTTCACACACTGAAAATGTTAACACACTAAGTCTTTTGGGGATTCAAAATCTACTCGTCTGTTTAAAAAAGACAAATTCATCATATGAGCAAATTTCTAGCTCCCAGCTGTGAGTCTTTCCACTTGTTCAGAAAAAGAGACAGGGCTACTAGGTCATTTATTCGGGTTATAGAAAAGCTKCCAGCAGTTACATTATTCTGAAGGAAAATGACGAAGGAATTATTGTCTCTCTTTTTACTGCCTGGCACTAAATAATGGTTACCTTCTCCACACTCTTATTATTCAGAAAAAAGATTTTATTATCTACTTTTAAACTTAAAAATAAGAAACCATCCCACATGATTTCCCAAAGGCCAGTGCAAGGTCTCAGAAACACAGAAGAGGTCAAGCACCTATTAAAACTCTATWAAATTGGTTTCAAAGTAGAAACAGGTCCCCTTCTGCATGGTCTGCCCTCRTTCAAGAAGGGGCACCTTTTTGCAGGAAGCCTCAATCAGCTCCTGAACTTATGTCCACAGGACTTGCCCCTTTACTGCTTCTTCCTTGCCCCTACGTGACACCAGAGTATTTCTTGCACCTGCAGAACACACATCCACCTGATACCCTGATTTCTGCTCATCACTCCCCAGCCTACTTGCAAATAAACATGGACTGCGTGTCCCTACTACTACCAAAACCAGCATGATGCTCTAGATGACTACTGAAAGCTTAGTCCTTATCTCTGTTAGGAAAATGGCCTTCTCTGGAAGCCTTTAAGCCAAAATAGACATCTGTTATGTCATTTAACCAAACTAAACACAACTACAGCACAAAGCACTTGCTAGGGCTCCTTCCTTTCTTCCTTTTACTTTTTTTTTTTTTTTTTTTTTTTTTCACCGAAATATCCTCAAACACAACAGAAATCCAGGACATCTTTTTATTAGTAGAGATTTTTTCTATCATTTTAACTGTAAAGATAAAAATCCATATTTAAAAAAAAAAGTAATTCCCAAGGAGTAGGTGGAGGTTGGTTTTGCTCCAGGATTCCCTAAGACTATGACGCACCTGCACTGAGGCACACACACCATCTAWACAAGTACCTTACTTTCTTAGATTCCTATCAGTGACATCAACATGTTTCTGTGTAATTCAAAATCTGATGGTGCTTTTATTTGTATGTCAGAAGGGAGCAAATATGTGTTCCCTTCCTCAAAAGTAACAAAACTGATGTTTCATTGTGAGCCTTTTGCACAGGGGGTCTCTCACCTTTATACGGGCAGAAGGAACCATTCAGTTCATTTCCAAACAGGAGCAGTGAGATTTACAGCCATAACCCTCATTCCTGCATGATARAATGAAAACTATGGATACTAGGAAAAAGAAACAGGACAATTCAGTGATGCTTCTATCGCATTGACAGAGGCARTATTTTAATTGTGTCAAGGGGCATTGTCAAGATAAGCAAAAATCCTAGTCCCAGAAGTATTAATTCTCAAACAAGACAGGAGACCATTTCCCTCTAAACTAGTTTCTAGGGCAACATAATTTGGGGAACTTCTAGAATGCTCCGTAGCATAGTCTATGTCTCATCCTATATGATTATCTATGTATATATGCCCATGCTTGTGCCCACACATGTACACATGCTTAGAAATAAACATTTCAATGATTAAACACATTCATGCTTGACTAATTCCTCTAAAAGATGTTAATATGCTTTTCATGGACAAGTAAAGCTGGATTTTGAACTCTATGAARCATTTGAAATGTGAAATGATTGTTCAAGAAACAGCGCAGTCACTATCAAAGAGGGAAAAAACAAACAAAACCACTGCAGAAGTGAGATGGATGCAGCTGATGGAAGAGCATTCAAGACTTACAGAGCCTGGACTTAAACCACACATTATTATAAGTCCATTGTGTGGACTTAAACCACACAAGAACCATTTTTGAAAATACATTATGTGCRTAACTATGTAATATTTATGAAAGCAGACCGGTAGCTGACCTCTCTGCCCAGGCACTTGTTATCTTCTGCTAAAGGAATTTTATAGCAAGTCCTCCACTGTTGGAAAGACCCAAGCACAGGTTTTGCAAGTGCAGCAGGAAGTAAATTTCATGTAACACTAAGGGTAAAAAAACYCTCATTAAAGCACTAGGAGACCATAGGCAGGTCAGTAGGTAGCCATGGTAAAATGGTTAAGTAGTAATCTGTCTCCAAGGCCACAGTCTTCAGAGAGATCTCCTTCTGTCTGCTTTTTCTAGGAGGATATGAATAAGTCAAACTCRGTAAACAAGTTTCTGCTCAACAAGAACAGGTCTTGCTTTGAGACAGGAATAAAAAAACATATCGAATAAAAATTCAACCCAGCCGTGATTTTGAGTGGAAAGGTAAACTCTTCTCATCCATATCCTATGGTTGTAAAAGGTGACTTCTGARAATCACTGAAACCTTGTTGAAAGTGATTTTATTCATTTGGAAGGCTTTGCAGGGAAGATACTTGTATTCCTTACTGAAAGAAACACTCCTGCTTTGCTAAATTAAAATGAAAAGCAGCTCCCTGTGCCAGTATCTTCAGTCCTACCTGAGTCTRCTTTCTTTACTGAAAATGCTATGAACTAGTTGGATGTCAGCTGGAAGAGTAGCTGGTATCTAATTCAAATGTGCTTAAAGGAATACTTGTATTCTGCTGACTTTTAGTGTCCAGAATGTATGCAGATGTAAAAGGCAGACACCAGGAAGCTCCTGGGCATAATCAAACATGAGCTGTGAAAACTTATTACCATAGGACAAGACAGGGCTTCTTGTCAACTGCTCTCACAAAACACCTACATACATACACCGCATCAGCTACCTATATTTGAAACCATACCTGTTGAAAATGTCCTATTTCTACCTTACAGACAGAAAACTGCACAAACAGGTCCTGTTTACAAAAAATATGGAAGAAGACTTGCCATAGTTACGAAAATGCCTCAGATATTTGCTGAAGCACAGAGGCACAGAGGAAGACAAGAGCTATTTCCAGGCAGAAGTATCCAGTTTGCACRTGGAGTACAAGTAAACAAAGTCCATGCAGCTGAAAATTGTTCCGAGTWTTTTTTTAAAGAATCAGACTAAGGAACTTACCATAAGTCATGTTTGGAGGTAACGCCAGTTCCCTTCTCTTAACACAAACCTACACTCCATGAACTGGAGGATGCAAAGGCTGCAATTACAAGGTCTCTGGTCCTTTCACAGAGCACTGAGTGCATATCAATAAGCTATAAAAGTACATTTTTTCAGCACAGCTACCTTCTTTTTGGCTCTGCAACGCTTCCTCCCTAATCACCAATAATGAGATATCTCTTTACACGCACAGGAGAACTTTGCTCCCACTGCCTCTCTTCAGCACCCTTCCTCAATTATGATTCCTTATTCATTCTCTCTAACCTGTAGTTATATAAATTGCTGCATTGTTCCAGAGACATCGCTGAAGCTTCATTAGCTCAAGTAGGAGGCTAGAGAAGGGACAGCACAAGCTTTTTGTTGAAAAACACCTGTCTGGGATATTTAATGAAATTCGCTGAGAGAATCTTTGAAATCAGGAAGATGTGATTATATTTTGATTTGAAAGAATGCTAACAGTTTCCTTCCATGTTTGTAAATAAATATTCATTTTCATACCAGTACAGGAATAGAAAGACACTAGGTCAGTATCTCTACCAGACATACGTTTAACAACATGATTTCTAAGAGAGGTTATTATTTCACATGCACAACTGTGATATCAATACAACTCGGAAGTACTGACCTGGTCTTAGAAGAGCTCACTTCCCAAAGCTTGTTCTGCAAACAGACGGAACAGGAGTATTACCTTCACTTCACAGGTTGGAGTAGCAGGCAGAGAATAAAAACACGTTGCTAACGACCCTGGATAACTGCCACAGAATGCAAAGGCTGCCTGGGTTTCTAGCACTTTGCTTTATCACAAAACTAGCCTTTATCACGCAAGGTCTAGGTGGATAGCAGGGATCTCACAGCACTTACGTGCCCCCTTAACCTTGAGTTAAATCTACTCCTTTCTTCCACTCCATTTCATAACATCTTTCTCTGCCAATATCGCAGCTTTTGCAGGATTAGAGAATTACAGTTTTTAGACAAGCAACCAGGAAAGCTGCAGGGTGACAGGCATCAGCTGTAACCTGCTGCCATCATTTTATCCGCATAGGAACTGTGTCAGTGGCATTCACCCAAACCCAACCCACGGCCCCTGGGAGAGGATGACATGTAGGTAGCTCAAAGGCAGGAAGCCC